TCATTCGAACCTATGTCCTCCCCAATAGATGGAAATGCTTGTAGGCTTCTCTCTCTCTAACCTCATTATTAATGGATGGGGCAGCAGCAGTAAAGCAGTTCATTGTTCAAGAAGCTTGTGCTTCATGAATCATCACGTGTCCAGCCACATCAAAAGTGTGTCCAACATGTCCATTTTTTCCCTTTTTGTGTGACCCAGTGTGTCCAATACATGTCTTGTAGTGTCGGAGACGTGTTCGTGTCAGACACGTATCGGAGACCCGTACATGCCCTTACACAACATGTCCGTGCTTCTAAGGCTCATAAACAAGATTGGAATATTAAGTATCTACTCCTCAGCCTGAGTAGGAGTTTCGTCATCCAGGTTTCTAAGAGACCTAGTTCATTTTCTTTTATTTTTTAAAGTTTAAATTTTGAGTTTAAGGGCTGGATGTGTCCAGACTGTTCCATAGGTGTGGCTGCTTTAATTTCTTGATCATTAGGAGTTTTTATCAAAGGTTGTTAGTTTTTGTTTCGGTAACAGCTGGTACACTTCAGTTATACCAAAACACCGTACGGGTAGTTTTTGTTCCAAACTTAGTACCGGATAATACCAATTGTTTTTGTTGGTTTCAGCTTTTTTCGGTGAATTTTGGTAGATTAGCCATTTTCAACAAGCAAGCAGCTGAGAAACATGATTTGCAATTTTGTGACTTATCTTTTGTTTTTTGACTATTTTTAACGTAATGAAAAACTAAAAAAAAATTAAAACCCTTAAAAGCTGAAACTTGTGCCGCATCTCCCTAATTTTTAGAGCAACTCTTTTTTTTATTCCACTTTATTTTTTCAAAACAAAAGTTTATATCTATTTCAATCTCTTCCAAAAAAAGCAAATGTGGTCTCTTTCTGAGATTCAAGACTCCTAATGCCATGGTTATTTTATTTTTCATCTCTTTACTTTTATCTTAATATGTTATTTTCTTTTTCATCTCTTTGCTTTTATTTTAATATATTCTTACATAAAAAAATCCATTTAAATATCATGCGATCAAATTAAATGTTTAAAAATATCATGATAAATTGATGATATTATTTTTTATAATTTTAAAGTTATTTATTTGATAGTTAAAGATATTGCACATTTATTTTGCATATTGTTAGTAGTATTATTATGTAAAAGTTCAGGTATATTTATAAATACATCTATACTAGACCGAAAAACCCAAAATAATATGCCAAAACAATTGGTACCAGCATATATCATTTTTTTTCAAAAACCCAAATGTTGTCCGATACAATATTAACAACCTTGGTTTTTATTTCCTTTTTTTAAGAGTTATTTGTGGAAAAACTAAGAAATAAAACTGTGTAGAAAACTAAGAGAAAAACTGAATGTATATTGAAAAACTGTTCATTAAGAATTATACAAGAACCATAGGTTTATATACAACTAAGTAGGGGTTAAGCTAAGAAACTAAATCTTCCTAAAAAACTAATCCTATAATTGAAGGATTATCTATCCTAATTTTTTGTCCTTAATTTATAGATACAAATACTTAATTCTAGAGATACAAATATAAATATACAAATTACAAAATTACAACTAACTGTAAATAAGTGTTTTCCCACACTCCTATTCAAGCTGGTGGATAAGGGTTTTTCATTCCCAGCTTGAAAATAATTTCTTGAAATGTTGCACTGTTGAGACCTTTAGTCAACACATTTGCAAGTTAATCCTTGGTTGATACATATGGTGTACAAAGTAACCCACTGTCTAGTTTTTCCTTTATGAAATGCTGGTCTACTTCAATGTGTTTGTTCTGTCATGTTGCACAGGATTGTGTGCAATGCTTATTGTAGACTTGTTATCACAGTAGAGTCTCATTGCTCCATCCCACTTGATCTTCAAGTCTTCTAAGATAATCTTTAACCATAGTAGTTCACAAATTCCTTGAACCATTGCTCTGAACTCTGCTTCAGCACTTGATCTTGCCACCACATTCTGTTTTTTACTCCTTCAAGTCACAAGATTACCACTTAAGAAAGTGCAATAGCCTGAGGTGAATCTTCTATCAGTTACTGAACCTGCATAATGAGCATCTGCATATGCTTCTAGAACTAGCCCCGAATTTTTTTTGAATAAAATACCTCTCCCAAAATTGGCCTTCAAATAGTGCAATATACAGTAGACAGCCTGTAGGTGCACTTTTTTAGGACTATGCATAAATTGACTTACCACACTCACAGCATATGCTATATCAGGTCTAGTATGTGAGAGATAAATGAGTCTTCCAACTAATCTTTGGTACATATCTCTATCTACAGCAGCATCTTCATTAGCTTCTCCAATTTTATGATTAGGATCTATAGGGGTATTTGCAGGTTTACATGCGAGCTTCCCAGTTTCCTTCAAAAGATCCATCACATATTTTTGTTGTAAGATGAAGATACCATGCCGTGAGTGAACTACTTCAATTCCTAGGAAGTACTTCAATCTCCCTAGCTCTTTTATCTCAAATTCTCTAGCCAAACACTGTTTTAGAGATTCTCTCTTTTCCATCATCTCCAGTTACAATTATATCATCAACATACACTAATAGAACTGTGACTCTCCCTAAATCAAAGTGCTTGATAAACAATGTGTGATCTCCTTGACTCTGTTTATATCTCATTGCTAGTATCACTTTGACAAATCTCCTGAACCAAGCCCTAGGAGACTGTTTAAGGCCATATAAAACCTTTTTCATCCTACATACTTTGTTTGCTTCTAGATGACCTCCAAATCCCGGTGGAACCTTCATATATATTTCTTCTTCCAAATCACCATGTAGAAAAGCATTCTTTACATCAAATTGTTGAAGCTGCCAATTGTAATTTGCAGCCAATGACAACAAAATCCTAACTGTATTCATCTTGGCAACTGGAGCAAAGGTTTCTTGACAATCCACTCCATAGGTTTGAGTGTAGCCCTTAGCCACTAACCTAGCTTTATACCTTTCAACAATACCATCCGCCTTGTATTTTATAGTAAAAACCCATTTACACCCCACTGGATTTTTTCCTTTAGGCAACTCTACCAGTTCCCATGTCTGATTTTTCTCTAAGGCCTCCATTTCTATTTTCATGGCTTGCCTTCATTTCTCACTAGATAATGCCTCGGATAATGTAGTTGGAACAAAAATAATGTTTAGGCTCACAAGAAAATTTTTGTGAGATGGTGAGAATTTTTCAAATGATACAAAATTAGAGATTGGATATAGTGGATGCTTAGTACATTCTCTGGTTCCTTTCCTAATGGCAATAGGCAGATCATAATCACTAGTTATAGTTTTAGGAGATTCATGCTTATTTTAAGAAATAGAGTCAAAAACTGTAGTTACCTCATTTCCAGAGTTAGGATCAGGCTCTTGGACTGGCACTGGTTCAGGCTCTGGAACTTTTCTTCTTGAGTACACCTGTAATTCATTCATAGAATCCAGAACAATATTACCTTTTGTCACATTTTTTGTATTTGGAATGGGTTCAAACTCAAAATCAGTATTTGACTTGGGCTCAGCAGAAACAAGATTCGACTCAGAAGAATTAATTGGTGAAAATGTTGAAGAAGGGGACAAATCAAGCAAAAAGAAGTATTTATCCTTATCTTCCATAAATGAAGTCTCCTTCTAAAGATAAGGTTGAGTAAAAAATGGTTTACTTTTTTCAAAAATGACATCTGCAGACACAATTTTTTTGGTAGGAGGATGATAGCACTTATATCCTTTTTGAGTTAAGGAATACCCCACAAAAATACTTAATAGCTCTTGGATCCAACTTTCCCCTGTTATGAGTGTGAACATGAACAAATGATGTACAACCAAATATCCTAGATATGAGATTGTTTGTGGTATTAAGGTTGGGATAAAATTGTGATAGTAGTTCCATAGGAGTTTTAAATCCCAAAACACTTGAAGGTAACCTATTTATAATGTATGTGACAAAGAGAACAGCTTTCCCCCAGTAAGATTTAGGTACATTTGCTTGAAAAAGAAAGGCTCGGGTTGTGGCTAGTAAATGGCTGTTTTTTGTCTCTACCATTCCATTCTGCTGGGGAGTATTAAAACAAGATGACTCATGGATAATCCCCTCTTTTTGGAAATAGATGGATAGACTCTGATTGAAGTAGTCTCTTGCATTATCAGACCTAAATCTCTTGATTCTCACTCCAAATTGATTTTGGATCATGTTTTGGAAGCTTAAAAACACACTATTCACATCTGATTTGGATTTAAGTAAAAAAACCTAAGAGACCCTGGTACAATCATCTATGAATGAAATAAATCCTCTTGCATCAGAAATATTAGGAATTGTAGAGAGACCCCAAATGTCACTATGAATCAAGTAAAAGGAAGTAGAACTTCTTTTATTACTAATTGGAAAAGACATGTCTATGCTTTGCAAGTTCGCAAACATCACAATGAAAATCTTCGACATTTAATCCTTTCAACAAAGAAGGAAACATGTTTCTCATAGTTCCAAAAGAAGGATGTCCAAGACGAAAATGATAAAGTCAGATTGTCTTTATTGGAAGATTTTTCATAAAGAAATGACAAAAGTAAATTATTCTTGATATTACTTGTGTTATTTGATGTCTCAAGATAGTATAGTCCATCCTTCTCCTTAGCAAGTCCAATCCTCTTCCCAAACTCTGGTCCTGAAATTCACAATAAGAAGGATAAAAAGTCACTTTGTAATTCATATCTCTGGCAAGTTTTTGTATAAATATCAAATTAGTAGACAATCCAGGAACATGAAGAACATTTTTTAGAACAAACGAGGGATTAACTGGAACATCTCCTAATCCTGCTACTGTAGTAAGTGAACCATCTGCAACAACAATTTTCTTATTACTAGGACACAAGATATATGTACTAAACTTCTGTGAGGAATGTATCATATGGTCTATGGTTCCTGAGTCAATGACTCAAAAACTCGTAATAGGCTTAACCGAGACATTTAATCCATGAGAACCAGAAGCTTTACCTGAACTAGAGACCTTACCCAATGAACATACCACAGTAGGCTTTTCAAGAATTTTCAATAAGTTTCTCATCTTTTCAATCTCTTCCCTGTCGAACTCTCCTTGTTTCCAAGACATCTGTAGTACTCCAGTGATTTTTTCAGTTGACACTTCCTCAAATTGAGTGGTAATGATATCTTTCTTTGAAAGGGTTTGGCAATGAAAGCCTAAAATAGAAGTCAGCAATGAAGACTGAAAATTTTGCTTCCCAAGAAGAGCCTAAAGCTCTGATACTATGTGAAAAAACTAAGAAATAAAACTGTATAGAAAACTAAGAGAAAAACTGAATATATATTGAAAAACTGCTCATTAAGAATTATACAAGAACCATAGGTTTACATACAACTAACTAAGGGTTAAACTAGGAAACTAAATCTTCTTAAAAAATTAATCCTATAATTGAGGGATTGTCTATCCTAGTTTTTTTGTCCTTAATTCTAGGGATATAAATACTTAATTCTAGAGATACAAATATAAATATACAAATTACAAGATTACAACCAGCTGTAAATAAGTGTTTTCCCACATTATTATTTCCTGATTTTTAGGAGTTAGTTTAGGAATATCTAGTTGGGTATCTTTGACCAAGGTTATTTATGTACCTAGTTCGTTTCAATGGAAATTACCAGAGAATGATTTTTTTGGTACAATTAAAAGAATGATTTTGCGTCTCTTATTTTAGTAACATACCCCATGCCCTAATTATGCTCAATTTCTTTGACCATGCATAAGAAAAGCTTCACACAATCTCTTCCACACTGCTTTGAAAATTTTGCTGCACCTTCGCTTGCCAATGTGCAGCAAAAGACAAAAGATCTGGTTTAACATAGAAGTTCGCAAAATTCCTAGGCTAAAATATACTTATATTCAGGAAAATGAACCAGCAGATTAAGTACAGTTATAATATACATGCAGTTTAAGAGTGCATCATCCAGCAAGAAGATCTGGTAACTCCTAGGCTAAAATATACTTATATTCAGGAAAATGAACCAGCAGATTAAGTACAGGTGTAATACACATTAAGTTTAAGAGCGCAGTATCCAGTAAGAATCAGGGCACCTAATAAAACAAGCGGCTGCTTAAGCCCCTATCCCCTACACCCCTCCAGTCTTAGTACTACATGTCTCATACTTGAGCTCAACTAATGACATTTGTGATTCAAGGAAATCAAGTTACTCTACTGTAATATTATCTTTTTTTTTTGGAATGATACTGTAATAATATCTTAGTCACACTCACACCATATAATTATTGCTTTACATGCTAGCATTAGCATAGCAGCATAAAGTAGGCAAGAATCACTGCATTTTCTATTGCATATCACATCCAAAGACTCAAGGCAAACTAAATGTGCTAGGACCCTTACACTGACTGAGGTAAAAGGCACAAAAGAAGTGCAATAGCTACTAGGGCTAAATATGAAGAGCAAAAGCAATGGTATCATGCATTTGCATGAATTGCAAGGTTGTAAACTGATCATATTATTATTTCAAAAATCTATTACCTTCTTCATTTGCTTTGTCAAAAACAAATTTGGCAAGCTTTGGTATTACTTCTGTGTCTGTTTCAGATTCAAAAGTGAATCCATGTCGAACAAGGGTCTCTTTCAAGACCTGAAAATACAAAAATATCCCAAAATCATCTTACATTCAAAAACTGTTAAAGAAAGTAAACTTTATGATGTAATGCAATTGCACAAACAAAGAATGAACAGAATCACATAACAAGAACATAAGCATAAGCAACAGCTGTGACAAAATATATGACATGTGTAAAAATTGCCGACAGATTTCTGTAAAGCCATTAGCAGATGCAGCATAGAAGTTTTCTAGCTACAAACTATCTGCAGACAAAGTTATTGTCTTCTTGCAACCAAACCCCCCATTCTCAATTGTCAAATCCAAGCGGCATGTTCAACTACCAATATTAGGCCTTCAAAGCAGTTAAAGAGAGTCAAAGAAGCACCATAGAAAATGAAATAAGACAAAATCTCAAAAAGGGTGGCAAACTGTTTTACTGGCCAAAAAATAAACTGTTTGGATCTCTACCCTCTCTCTTCCTCATCTTCTTTACTGGGAATGTTTGTAAATTTTGTAAAATATTCAATAAGAAAATGAATGAAGAGAAAAAGCAGAAGGGCAAAAGTGGAGCAATACCCACCATTTGAACTTTGGCCCATGCTGTGTTAGCTTCTGAGCTTCATTCTTTCTAATTCATATGTGCATGTGACTTTATTCTTGAAGAATGTAAACTATTTTAATCACATTGTTTAACATAGTTTATTCTGTACCAGTGGTAGGAAAAAAGAAGAAGAGAAAGCAGAAAACAGAAAACAGAGAGAGAAGAAGAAGAAGAATGAGTTCTAGTGATTCATACACACATCACTAGAGTTATCTATCTATCAGTTGGTTGCTTTTTATACATGTAATTAACTATTTCATCCTGTAAAATAAAATGCTAAATAATAAACAGTCACAGTGTACAAACCTGTGTTGCATATCCATCAAGAATGCATAAGCTAGTTAAGGTAAGAAAATGAGAAACAATGTGACTGAAATTTTAAGCCAACCTCATAATTAGTGATAACGCCATTGTGAACAACCAAGAAGTCATTTCCAGGACCAGAAGTCTGAGGATGACTATTCCTTGGAGCAGGCTCCCCATGCGTAGCCCACCTGGTGTGTGCTATACCAGCATGGATAGAAAAGGATTCCTCCAAGTTCAACTCTGTTGCAGCTACATCTGGAAGAACCAAAACCACCATTGATTTAACCTATAAACCTATGGCAACATAACTAAAGAACAGAAAAAAAAAAAAAAAATGCCACCACGGGTAAACAAGAAAACGAGTCGTTTTCTTAATACAAGCTTATAATAGACAAAGAAAATGAAAGCACACCAGCTTTATAACTCAAAATTAATTCTGCTTATACAAAGTGATAATAAAAATGTTGGAAACAATTATAAAAACATTTTGATTCACTCTTAATAAACAAGTCAAATAATTCCACTCTAACAAAGGCTGCTGCTGATACGAAAGTATAACATGGGACCAAGAATTATTAAAAATAAATAAAAATTTGTAACATTTTATTTAATTAATCAAAGAACGAAAGCCATTATTACAGAAGGTCATTATTTACAGTCACATTTCAGTTTCACCTTAACCCATGCCAAAAGAAAAAGGTAGAGAAATTTTATTACATATAGCAATCAAACCTGATCAAGAACAAACATGAGCATAGTTACCAATATCTAAAATAAATGAAGGAATGAATAAATAAATTACAAACCTAAACTTTGCTCTTTACTTTTCCTTATGTACTACTATTGCTGTACCGTCACACCTGGTCCGATAGCAAAGATGAACGAAAGGAAGTAGCTTTATGATCGAATAAAAAGCAATATATTAACACGTTGCGGTAAAACGATTAGGAACAGCTCTTACCCGTTTAAAAGCTTACCCTTCTTTTCTTCGCTTTTCTAGCGACCAACGAACCCAATCAATCGGAAAACTCCAAGCTTTGAAAAAAGAGAAATTTAAGAGGGTAATAAGATACCTTGGTAGACGGATCTGACGAGGGACTCGATGTTGCCTTCCTGGCGAAAAACGAGAGGGGGAGGGGAGAGAGAGGGACTGAAGGATGATTGAGAGGTGCTTGGATCGCGAGAAAATGAGAAGTCGTTGTCGATGGAAATTCCAGCGGAATCGTAGCCTCTGTACTCGAGACGACGAAGGCCATTGAAGAGAACTTGAAGAATGTACCTTCTCTCTCTGTTCACGTTGTAATTCAAATACGCAAATATCCCACACATTCTTTTTTTTTATTTAATTTTCAATTGCAGAAATAAATAAAAAATTTGAGGGGAAAATGACTTTTTTCTGGGTTTTTCCTTAACTCTCTGTTTCTCTTGGCTTTGTGAAGAAGAAGAAGAATATCTAAGGGGAAGATGATCTTGACTCTTGACTTTTATTCTTGTGATTTTTTTTTTTTTTGAAAATATTAACTTTGTGATTTTAATTGACTGCGTTTATTAGCATAAGGTTAACGCGTAAATTGCCCCTTATTTATAAATAAAAGGGTTAAAATATACTATATATTTTTATTATTTTGATACTTAAAAAAATAAATTTACAATTAAATTCTTTAAACTTTTATTTTGTTATATATTATATACTTCATATTAACATTGTTAATTAAATATTAACGTGTTATTAATATTCAACTAGTAGTTATCTCCTTTTTATATTAGAAAATGGCATCCATTACTTTGCGATAAATTGTCGTAAAAATAAAACATTTGTTTGTTTATCAATTTAATGAAGATTTAATTACATATTTCAATTTATTATTTTTATTTGGATATTTCAATATTTAATACATCCATATCATCTATGAGCAAAGGTGGAGCCCTTGACGCACCATTCCGGAGCCATATCCGAGCCATGGCTAGCTGTTTGGATGATATGATAGCAGAGCTGACATTACTTTCTTCCAATATTGATGGGACCTAAATTGATGACACAAACAAACTCTTTGCTTTTACTTGTGTATACGATAATATTTTTTTTTTTATTAATTAACACAATAATAAATAATAATAATATATATAATTAATTAAAAATTTTTAAATTATTTTTTGTGATTTTAACGTTCAATGAATATTAATTCAAAATAAGAAATGATTATTATCTGTACATATAAACAAAATATATGTACTTTTAATCAAATAATATATAGAATTAGCTTATAGCATATGTACATTGAAAGTCATAAAAATAATTTTAATTTACTTTTAATTTTATATATACACATTTTTTATTAATTATTTTTATCATGATATTAAATAATAAATATCTTTGATGTAAATATATTTTTTATAAATAATAAATAATTAAATGTGACATTATCCCTTGTCAATATTATGTATCCATTGTTAACACATAACAGATCAATTTTTTAGTAAAAGGATTTGCTTCCAAAATTGCAAGTGCCCCAAACAGCTTGCCCAGAATTCATTAAGCTAAACAAATTTGATGACGTCATAATTAATTGAAGACTAATAATAATAATAAATAAATAAAAACCTTCCCTATTGTGCCTGTAGTATTCAAGTTGACATTCAACGAAGGGTCCGAAACAATCTGAAATCCGGTGTTAGGGTGGGGTCGTTGATATCACGTGCAGGATGTACATTTTTATTATTAATAAATAACTATTATTATTTATTATATTTATTAAAAATATATATACATGGAAGCTTTTTTTTTATTTGATATTATGATTGAAAATAATTAATAAATAAAATATTTATATGTTAAATTTTAAAAATATTAAAATTACTTCTACGACTTCGAATGTACATTTGTTGTAAAATAATTATACATATTGTTTGATTAAATGGACACTTATTTTGGTTATATGTATATATAAGAATCATTTGTAATTTTGAAATAACATTTATTAAATATTAAGATCATAAAAATAATTTTAATTTTTTTATTAATTTTTTATATTATTAAATTTTTAATAATTATTTTTTATTATGATACTAATTAAAAAAAATTGTATTAGACTACAATTTTTTTTTTAATTTCCTTTCCTTACACATTTTTTGTCATGTATATGTCATGTTCACATTTTTTTCCATATAATTATTTACACAATACTTAGAAAATTTAGATAATAAAAATAAAAATTGAAAGACTGATTTATAAGCAATAATAGTAGAAATACTTGATTAAAATTTTAAAAAAATTTAGGGCATTTTTCATATTTTAACAAAAATAAAATTTTTTTCAATAAAAAATATATTTTTTGAATATGTCAACTACCAATGGATGCCATGTGTGGTCTACATCACATGATATTGGCTGCTATTTAAGAAATATTTCAATTACAATTTTTTATTATAATGATATAATTATTTCATCACAATCAAAAATAATTTAAAAAATAATTACTTATGAGAATAAATTTCACATAATATTTTAATAAATTTTATATAATCCTAAAATTTAATTAATTAATTATATATAATTATTATAATTAAATATGCCCCCTCACTATTTAACCTCACAACTGATTAAAGATTGAAAAAGTAACTCATCCCCTATCCATATCCTATAAATAAGAAAATAAGAAAAAATTAAAATTTGACGATTACTAACCAAAATCGAATTTTTTAAAAATTAAAAATCAAAATAAAATCTGACGCAAAATTCAAAGACCATAAATGCTACTCACATTTTTTTTATTTTAAAAAGAAAAACCACAGAAGCAAATGTAAACGATAAGGTAGTGTTTGATTTCATTTATTTTTTTTTATTTTTTAAAAAATAAAAAATATGAGTAAAAACTTTTTTAAAAATTAAAAATATAAATAATTTGAAATATAAAAACAAAAATAAGATGTTTTCTGAAAATAAAAATATTTTTTTATATTTTGTAAGTTATTATATTTGAATATTTTTTAATGTTATTAACTAATAAATATATATTATATTTATAATTAGATGATATTAATAATAATATCATTAAATATTTTATTTATTTTTATATTTTTAAAAATAATTTTTATTTTCACTTATCAAATACAAAAATAAAAAATAAAAACAAAAATATTTTCTCAAAGGAGCCCAAAGTTTTTTTGTAACGAGCCCTTAGTTTTGCAGTTCCCACACTGAACTGAGAAAGCTGTAATCCCAGAGGCCAAAAGCCATCATCATCCCTTCACCTCACACAAAAAAGAAAAATGGCGTCTCTCTGTTACTCCCTCCACTCAACCCAAAAACTTTCCCCCTTAAGCCCAAAACCCTTCTCCAATCTCACCTTCCTCAACCAACAAAAATCCAATGTCCGCCTTTCACGAAGATCCACCATCACCCGCATGTCACTGAACCCAACCCCGGCCACAGATCGCCTAATCTCCGCTGCTGCCTACACTCTCCGGTTCTTCAACTCCATCCAATACGGTCGCTATCTCTTCATCCAATACCCTCAATTAGGTACCCTTTTCGACCCCCTTTTACCCTTCCTAAGCCTCTATAAATCCGCCCCTTACGCCAGCTTCGTGGCCTTCTTTGCTTTGTACCTGGGGGTCGTTCGGAACCCGAGTTTCAGCCACTACGTAAGGTTCAATTCGATGCAGGCGGTGACATTGGATGTGCTGCTGGTGGTGCCGTTGTTGCTGTCAAGGATACTGAATCCGGGTCGGGAGGGTTGGGCTACCGGGTGATGGTGTGGGGACATACTGGGGTTTTCGTGTTCAGTTGTTTGTGTTTTGTTTACGGAGTGGTTTGGAGTATTTTGGGTCGGACTCCTTATTTCCTTTTGTCGCCGATGCTGCCGGTATGCAACTTTAGGCAGGCTTGTACGGTACAATCATTCTATTTTCCGAGAATTTTGTTTTTGTTTTTTTAATTTTTAATTTTAATTTTTTGTAATGCATTTTAGTTGAAATGCTACGGCTGAAATTATATTATAGGTTTATAGAAGAGTATGTAGTTTAGTGAATTTTCTTTAATCCATTGCTATCTTCTCCTATTTAATTTGCTTTGCTGGTTATCCTTGTAATTTCAATGTCACAAAACAAGATTGTAGATTTGCACGTGAAAGGTAAAAAAACCAAGCTTCTGACTCTGTTTGCAGTAGCACATGCTTCCTGAGATGCATATACTAAAATGATATATGCAAGTTTAAAACATGTCCTGCACATTGTGTGCATTCTTTTCCATTTCTGATTTTTTTAAAAATGGCGCATGACAAACCTCTGAATTTAGTTAAATTGAAGCAATTGGACGTTGAACTCGGGCTATAGGCTGTCATGTCCCTTGAATTAAAGAATGTTAATTTTACTCCAGCTCCGTTGGAAAATTCGTTTTTTTTTTTTTTTAATTTAATGGAGATAAACATAGGTATTAAATTATAAAAATAAAAGATTAAAATAAATATAATTTTAAAATATTCGATGGGTACGAGAATGGATAATGCCCACGTTTTATCTGTATCTACTATATATTCATATATATTTAAAAATTTATTAAAATTTTAACTTTCAAAATTTAGAGTTTTAGGGTTTAAAAATTTTGTGTATTTTTCAATCTGTAGGTTTTTACTTATTTTAATTTATTTTAATATGTATATCGTATTTGATTTAATGTAATACGAAATAATTTTAATTTGTGTAACATTTTTCTTTTTCCTCAAATAGTTAAGAAACTTTTTTTTGGTCTTAAAAAGAATAGCTCAATATTAACATTCCATTTAAGTTTAGCAAACCGATTAAGAGCACATTTGGATTCCATAGCACATTTGAAACTAACAGTGCATTTAGATATAACGTTAAGATTGCTTCGTGAGATTGAAAATATTGAAAATAATAATTCTGATAAAATTAATTACTGTAATAATAAAATTAAAATCAATATTAAAATATATATTTAAATGTAAAAACAACAATGTGATATGGTAAAATGTAAGGAAAAATGAAAATGAACATTAACTGTATCAATCTAGAAGTGTAATAACAAATTATATATTTTAAAATTATTTAAGACTTCAAATAAAAATTAAATTAAAATATTGACACATTAAATTATATTAAAATAATAGTTAAAATTTTAAGTATTAAAAATGATAAAAGTTTTAAAACATTTAATATTATAAAAATAATATTTATAACAATTATACAATGTAAACTAATTATTTAATGTACTAATCTGAACCAATTATTACTGTATATTTCTCCAAAAACTCATAAATAAAATAAAGAGAGAGATTTTTATGATTAGGCCTTAGGGATGGGATTTTAGTAGAAGATTGTGTAACCATGTTGTTTTAATGAATAAGAAGCGGATGAGTAGAGTAGGGCCGGATCTACTCCAAGCCCAATCTGGGCTGGACTCAGGCCCAGTATGTTTGGATCAAAATCAATACCAATAAGTGAGTTAACGCTACCCTGGTAAGAAACCCATTGAAGCAACGCAG